CAGATGCAAGCAAGCAGAATGATCTTAAAGGTGAGGTTGTATCTCATCCATGTATTCACCTTTTCTCTTCTTTTATTTTTATTTATTTTATTTTATTTTATTTTTTGAGACAGGGTCTCACTATGTAGTTCAGGCTGGCCCTAAACTCACTATGTAGCCCAGCTGGTCTCATACTCACAGCAACCTTCCTGCCTCAGCCTTCTGAGCGCTGAGATGACAGGTATGTGCCACCACACCTGATTTTTATCCCTTATCTTTTCTCCCCTGCCGATGCTGGGCACGTAACTAGAGCACCAAACACAGCTGCTGAAGGAGCGCCAAGACCTCATTAGTGAGCTTGGAGTTACTGAGGGCTGCGTGTGAGGCGCTCCCACTGGTTTAAGAAAAGCAATCCCCAAAGAGGCAGGGGGAGGCAGACAGGCCTGGGCTCGATCACTGACACAGAGCCGGTTTCTAAGCACCCAGCGTCTGCCTCCTCACTGTGGGCTGAAGTCAGTCCAACAACCACACTGGGCTGTGAGGGCTGGGGGGTGCGTGTGACACCAGCACACATCACAAGCAGCAGCTCCTCTCCAGCATGCCGCAGGCGTGAGAGCGGTGTCTCCCGGAGCAGCTGGGAGCCAGGGTGACACACAGCAGAACCCCCGAGCTAGTGACATATGGCATCTAAATACACACCTCTGCAAGCGTCACAGCAGCCCTGTCAAAGCTTGCATCTGTTTTCCACATCGTAGCTCCAGAATGGCGGCTGCTGCCACACAAAACGAAGACAGGCACGCAATGGTGCCATCTGCTCTTAGATCAAGCCGTGGGGCGGCGACAGCAAAGGCGAGGCCGAGCTCACCTGCAGGGGCGGCTAGGACGCAGCGGGCAGCGGCACGTTGCACAAACTCGCCTGCTCCAGCGCCACCACGTCCAGGAACACCCGTCAGGCACTGACACTGGGCACGGCCCGCAAGGCTCTGAGCACGGAGCCCAGAGAAGTAGGGCAGGCGCCTGGGCGTCACCAGCAGCCCCCAGGCCCGGGCTCTGGCATCACAGTGGCCTGCGCGTGGCTTCCGCTTCTCAGCAAAGTGACCTCGGCGCTGCCTCCGGGGGTGTTCTGAATCAGCAGGAGGGCGCGCGGGGCCTGGCACGGGCGGGCAGCTTGTCTGCCAGTCACCACTGCCCACATGCAGACACCACTGCAGCCCTTCCTGGGGCTGAGCTCCAAGCTCACCCGACGGCTGCCCTCCAGTCACGACCTGAATTTACACGGACCAGTGCAAGCGCAGCCCCCAGAGGAGAAGGTGAGGGACCGTCCCGGCACCACAGATCCCTCACCTGCTGGATTTTCTCTAAGAGGCAAGACCACCGCCAACACGGGCGCTCACGGGCAAGCAGCCAGCACCAGCCCCAGCAGCAGCACGCTGCCCTGGGTGCCCCAGGCCTCAACCCTGAAGGACCATACGGGAGGCTGGATGTGGACAGAAAGACAGAAGAGTCTAACCCCACTACGGCGGGAAGCGCGTCACCTACCGACCACCCCTTTCCCGGCTCAGTGCGGAGCGCAGAATACATACAACAGGCACCCTCCATCCTCCGACCGACTCCCTGCATCCAGTACAGCCCGCCAGTTTCCCTTCCAGCCTCCAGTGTCTCCGGTGACTCGGGCCCTGGGAGATGCAGCAGTGAGACTGACAGCAGGGCTGTGCCGCGGGGTTCTCTCGGAGCCACAGAGAAGCCCACAGAGGAGCTGCCTGTGTGCGAAACCGGCACTTAGAGCCGCGTCAGCAGCCCTAGCTCTGAAGTCACAGGGTCCTTGGACACAGGGTCCAGTGAGACGGCGCTCCTGTGTGGCCAGAGCCATGGTGCTTGTGGAACGGTGCTCCTTTTATCTATATTTACGGATGAATCGCACAGAATTAAGAAGTACATCATTAATTCTCTTCCTACTTGCATTAGAACAGGAGTCGTCAAACTCTGGACCTCAGTAGCCCTTTACACACTGAAATCATTACTGAGAATGCCAGTATTTTTGCTTATATGAAACACAGCTAGGGGCCAGGGATGTAGCTCAGCAGCATAAGCGCTTGCCTGGCACACCTGAGGTTCTGAGTTTGATTCCCGGTACCAAAAAGAAAAAAAAAAAAAGAAACACAGCTATCAACATTTATGGTATCAGAAGTTAAAACTGAGACTTAAAAATATTTATTAATTCACCTAAAATTAATGATAAAACCCTTACCCATTAACATAAATAATACACTTCAATAAATGTAACTATATTTTCTAAATCATGATAAATATCACAGGAAGACTGATATCATTTCACATTTCTTTGGAATTATTTTAGTGTCCAGCTTTATAAAAGACAAGTTTCATATTTGCTCCTGTATTTATTTATTTATTTATTGGGGGGGTGCCAGGAATCAAACTCAGGACCTTATGTTTGCCAGACAGGCACTTGTGCCACTGAGCTATATCCCCAGCTCAGCTCCTGTATTTAATTTGTTGTAATATACGTTGTTTTAGTAAAAATCTAGAGAAAGTCCAGTCACTTTCTGGAAAAGTGACTGGAAAAAAGGAAGAACCATTCACAGATTTTTCAGTTTAACTGGATTTTTTTTTTTCAGTAATGGGAATCGAACTCACAACCTCACACTTGCCAGGCATGCGCTGTACCGCTGAGCTAAATCCCCAGCCCCTGGATATTCTTTGACACCACCCCAAAACTCAGAAGCAGTGTGGGGGCTGAACACAGACAGATGAACTGTTCGCGCTCTGTCCCATTACAGTCCACTGGGCACCCCTCCACTTTGAACGGCTCCGTGTGAGACCATTCACTCATCTCTGGAAGACGTTCATTCACTAAGCCATGCCGAGAGTCCAAAGACTGACATATTTCAATGTACATTTTAAAATCACGTTAAGTATTATCAATCTCATTAGAGAAGTATTGAGAAGCCACTGAGCTCGAATGTCCCAGAATTCTACGTTTCACATGAAAGCTCAAACTTCATTATTGGCAGCCAGGAGCACCAGTCGCGTTCCTTGAAGTGACAGACCGAAGCTGTCTCCGCTGGGGGAAATGTCTGCCTAATACCCACACGTGGTAATCGCAGTCTGTCAGTCACGCTCGCGAGCGTGCATGGTGTTTGACCGAAGAGCAGATGGCTCTGTGTGCAAGTGCTTTCCCTGAGACGGTGCAGTACCGCCTGCCCCAACCCTGCATGCGCACTTCCCTCGGGGCGCAGGGTAAAGTTACAGAGACCCACAGGCACTGAAACTAACCGAGCCAGAATTCCGCCCACTTCGTGGAGACACGGCCTTCCACTAGTCTGTCGGGGAAGAGCACATTTGGTGCGCCCACCCCATGCTGAGCCACCAGCAGTGTCACTCACTGAACCAGCAAAGCTGCTAAATAATGTCTTATCACCACGGAAAGCTTCCACCTGAGGACCCCGAGGAGGTCACAGGCACCCGAGTGCCTGCAGATGGCACTTGGAGAACCGCTGCCTTCCTCTACTCTGTTCACGTCCACACTGGGAAAGAGCCCAGGTGGAAGACGACGTCTTGGCAGACAGGCACGGACACCAAGGAGCGCGGGCTGCACGGCAGGCAGTGACGCTAGTCCAACCCGTGCTAACTCACCGCGCTGGCGGCCTTCCTGCAGGAGTCCGTGAGGCGTTCGGGGGGCTCCTCGCCTCGCTCCACAGCGGTGTGCTCACCTCCTCACAAGACAGGAAGGACTTCTGGTCTGTTGGCCGCTGTAATTGGTGCTGCCTTTCGGGACCTGCCTTTCATCCTTGGCAACCCTGCCAACCTTCTCCCAGCTCACGCCCCCCAAACACACAGTGCCACCGACCTGCCCACCCGCCTCCAGGATCGCCCACCCTTGACAAGCTGGAAGGGCATGGCGGCTTGCTTTATCTTCTGTGAGTTTAACTAGCTTGTTGGGTTCCTCCTTAATTCTTTTTTTTTGTTGTTGGGACGGGGTGGGTTTTTTTTTTCCGGTACCGGGAATTGAACTCACAACCTTATGCTTGCCAGGCAAGCACTGTGCCACTGAGCTAAATCCCCAGGCCCTCTCCTCCTTAATTCAAACCAAGTTGTGTCTGAATTAAAGATCCACTGCTGCCTGACTCTGGGGAAGTTATTCAACCTATCTGGGACTCAATTTCCTCGTTTGTGAAGTGTGGCTAAAATCTTCCTGGAAGAGTTTTTATTATGGTTAGTGACTGTACTAAACCCAGAATAGTCTCTATAAAACAGCAAGCCCTCAATCTGCGGTAATTACCGACTCTGCATTCCCTAGAAGTGGACTTACTTCCCCATTGCTTGTGTACCTCAACTGCTACGCCTGTGCTCTCTACCTGTAACCCTTCTTTGCTGTCTTCTCCCCAGGTAATGGGTGGAGATGAAGTGCCCAGGACACTACCTGGTATGAAGGACGCCTCTGCTTCCTGGTCTGAGGCTGACTATTTTCCCTAAAGGAAATGATGCCACGGGCCTTCGCCAGATTCTTGCTGTTTGCTTGTGAGTCCCTGGGTGTTCCGAACCACAAGCGTAAACACAAGCGCTGTGCCCCTCGGAAGCGGTGTTCTGTTTTACTCCACCAACTTCCCATGCCTGGGACTCCCTGCCTTTTTTGACGTGGTGCTGGTCAGGGATCCTTGTCTTTACTGGTCTCAGTATGCCCTTGCTACAACTCCTGAAGGCATCTCAATGGATGTAATCAAATACCCTTTGGACTTACTAAAGGGGTAAGAGATTTGTAAAAGCAGTAATGCTACCAGGAAATACCATACCCGCAACTAGGCGCACGATTCCTAGGAAATGTTGGGTTATACCAAGACGATAAACTAGTCTCAGGGGTGCCCTGTCCATATGGCCACAAAGAGGAATCAGACAGAGAGCTCACTGAACAGTAAAGGCTCAGGGAGAAAAACAAAAGCCAGACAGAACAGATGGAATGAAAGGTACAACCAGCAGTTATAATTTACATATCAGAAGCTTACCTGCTTGATCAAGTTTGAGCAAAAAATAAGGAACACGCATAGGCTCAATTAACTTCTTTACCTGGAAGAGTTTGAAAAACTAAAGGTTACACTTGAAGGAGAGGGCATCTCCTACCCAGGTTTTCTTTCCTCCCCCACCAGCCTCCTCCTCCGAGCTTTTCAGCTCATGTTAAGGCGACCCACAAGATTCTCCTGCTGTCAGTAATGATCTTTAAAAGAGCATTTGAAGTCTGTGGATTCTATTCTACTGTCAGTGATTCACCTGTGTAGCTTTGGAACATACATTTTACATGTTTGGTGACTTGATCTACCCCACTATGAAATGGGCCCAAAAATATCCCCTAGAGTATCTAATGTTTCCAAAACGCCATGTGGCAGCCCTCAGGGAAAAGATCCTCAGAGTATAAAATATTAACTTTTTTTGCCAAGTAAACTTCAACCTACAAATCAGTTTTAGAAGTCACATGCTCAAGATTATACAAATTACACTGGTAAAAACTAAAATTTTACTGGAATGATAAAAGTTACTTTTGCCAAACCTACACTACTAATTTTAACATTCAAATGACACTTACATACAAGACATGAATGTACAAGACATGAGTAGCCTATCAATAATATTTCGGGAAATTTTAGAACCACATTCCACCTTCTTATTTGCTTTTGTGGGTGAAACAAAAAATTATCAGTCAGGAAAATGGATCATACCACAAGACACTGGAGCGGCAGCAGCCCTCTCCTCGCACAGAAGCAGGCCGGCAGATCCCCACAGGACCAAGGACAACACCGGATCCGCACCGGGGGCAGGGCACGTTCACACAGCTTCAGGGGCTCTCCCACTCCTGCCGACAGCACCTAAGTGCAGCTCCCTGGCAACACACATTTAAAAAGATAAAAGTCCTCCTGAGAGTGATGAGGTAAGGAAAGAGGGACATCAAACAGAAAACACTGAAAGCTATGGCAATAAGCCTGCTGGACAACAATCAATTCATGTTGCAATGCTCATTTTTTTTTTTGGCTTTTGGAGACAAGGTCTCGCTATGCAGTTCAGGCTGGCCCTGAGCTCACTTTGTAGCCCAGGCTGGTCTCTAACTCACAACAATCCTCCTACCTGAGCCTCCCGAGTGCTGGGATTACAGGTGTACGCCACCACGCCCGGCTGCAACGCTCACTTTCTAAGACTAAAAAGAAGCTCACAGACATACAAGATTAAAACTCTTATGTCTTCCTTAGCCACATACTTTTATAAATAAAACATGAGGGGCTGGGGATTTAGCTCCGTGGCACACTGCCTACCTGGCAAGCGCACAGTCATGAGTTCGATTCCTGGTACCAGAAAAAAACGAAAAAAATAAAAAAAAAATTTAAAAAACATAGTTTGGTATAATAAAACACATTTTCCAGGTTTAGAGAGTAAATCCTAAAAACCACTCCAAAAAGTCATTATCAAAATGTAATAGGTAAGCCAGGCGTGGGGGCACACGCCTATAATCCCAGCAGTCAGGAGGCTAAGGCAGGAGGATTGCCGTGAGTGTGAGGCCAGCCTGGGCTACATAGTGAGTTCAAGGCCAGCCTGTACCACATAGCAAGCAAGACCCTGTCTCAAAAAAAAAAAAAAAAAAAGAATAGTTGAAGTGTAGAAAAGAAACTCTAGATTCCAGAGTATACCTAATCCCACTTCAAGATATTTACTTTCTAGGATAATTCTGAATGAACTTTAGCATAATCCCATAGTACAAGGCTAAAGCTCTCCATGGAATCATAGAAATCCATGTTCTAGAATCTTCTCACCAATAGAAGTGGAGGATGTTAAACTTTGCCTGTAAAACAAACACACTATTGAGAAATGGCGGTGGATTTGCATATCAGGCAGGAGATAGGCTGGCCTGAGTCATCAGCTGCCAGTTTCAGCTGAACACTTCTGCTTTCCCCCAAACATCACCGAGACACACAGCACATTTTCTGGAAGGGAGGGAGTGGTGATCTTTGCCCTTCAAAACGCCCTCTTCACAGGACGACGCTTTCAAAACACATGGTAAAAGTGTTATACAACATACAAGAAACTGACTTCATGTGGAAGGTAATTTCATCATGGGCGTTTCCCAACTTGAATTAATGCAAATTACATTACTCCCCTCTGAGAGAGGGAAATATTAATCTGGCGAAGTGGAAATACAAAAACAAAGTTTCTCCTCTCCAGTTTACTCAGACCACAATTATTAAATAAGTTGTTAAAATCAAAGAAGGAAATGACCTGAGAAAATTTTATTTCAACATAATTTTTTTTCAGATGGGGGTCTTGGTATATTACCCAAGCTGGCTTGAAAATCCTGGGCTCAAGAGATCCTCCTGCCTCAGCCTCCCAAACAACTGGGACTACAAGTATGTACCAATATACCCAGCTAAGGTAATTTTTTTCTTTTTCGGTCTTTTTGAGACAGGGTCTCACTATGCAGTTCAGGCTCATCTTGAACTCACTTTGTAGCCCAGGCTGGCCTCAAACTCACAAGGATCCTCCTGCCTCAGCCTCCCGAGTCCTGGGATTACAGGTGTGCACCACCATGCCTGGCTCACTTAACTATCTTTCATGGCCAAAGACACTGAAAATTAATGTTCACATTGGCTGGCACCAATATGAAAACAGCTTGTACATTCAGGAGGGCGAAGGGACTGGTATTTGCCAAGGTAAAACCAAAGCCTATTTGTTCAGCAGACCTGACATACCAGGAATGATTCAGATAATGACAGTAAATGAAGCTGTCAGAATAACTACACATTCAAATACATATGTAGCTGCGCGTGGTGGCGCACACCTGTAATCCTAGCGCTTGGGAGGCTGAGGCAAGAGGATCATTGCGAGTTTGAGATCAGCGTGGGCTACAAAATGAACTCAAATACCTGTGTAAATACAAACGAGTGTTATAGGAAAAGTTCTCCATTCCGGGGCACATTTGAAGAGCCAGGAAGTGGGAGAGTTAGTAGAAGAATTTAGGGATCAAGTAGTTGGAATAAGATCCATTACAGGTCCAAGTTGTGGGATTTCAAGGACCAGGCCTGGAAGCTAAAGACCCATCCCTGGGGCAATCCTGACCGAAAGCCTGCTCTTCCCTGTGGAAACAGAGGTGGTCAAAACTGGAATTTTCCAATTCTTTAAAAATACCGAAGAGTCTTAGCAGAGTAACCAAAGACTGCTCGGCACCCAAAGGTACCTCTGACCACTGGCAGGCTCAGTCGCGCTGGAGCTGAGTCAGGTGTCTGGTGACCATGCTTTCCCCAAGCCCGGTACTTACAGCAGAAGGACACCATCCAAGATCTTAAGCTGTGACTGGGAAACGGAAGAGCAACAGTTTGTTCTTATGAACATGTACACAGCCCTTATTAAGCGGCAGTGTACTCTATGGCTTTTGTGAATATTAACTAATTTAGGGCTCTAAATTAGTACGACTATATGCAGTTGGCAGATGAGGAAACTGAGACACAAAGGTAAATAACCAAGGTCACATGGCTACCAAGTCACAGGCCAAGATCCAAACTCTGACTTCAGAGCCCAGACTCTTGACCATAATTTAAAAAAACAAAATACTAGAAAGCCACATAAGTATAAAGGTAAAAAAAAAAAAAAAACCTCAATAATGAAACAGTCCAAACTCCTCCATTTTAAAAATTAAACAACGCTAGGCGTGGTGGCACACGCTTATAATCCCAGTACTCGGGAGGCAGAGGCAGGAGGAGGCAGAGGCAGAGGCGAGTTCGAGACCCACCTAGGCTGCAAAGTGAGCTCAAGGTCAGCCTGAACTGCATAGCAAGACCCAGTCTCAAAAAAAGACCAAAATAAATAAATAAATAAAAATTAAAATTAAACAGAACGGGAGAGGGGAGCCCCTGAGCAGACCAGATCAGCAGAACTACACAATTCACACCCAGATCATCAGAACTACACAGTTCACACCCAGAGGCCAGAATCCCACACCGGATGTCCCACACCCAGACTTCGTCTAGACTAAGCCTTTGCTCGTTGAAGTCTGTGTTCCACCTTCTCGGTCTGATGAGGGATGGGACGTGTGTCTGGTGCCTCTCTGCAATCCTACTGTCAGCACGATGTGCCACACACAAGGCCTCCTGTCTCACGGGCCGGGGTGCAGCCAAGGGGGCAACAGTGTAGCCAGGAAAGACAGAAGCGCCTCCTACTCCAGGTGCGTTCGCTGCTTGGACACCTTCTCTCCTTTTTTTTCAGACAGTTGTGTAGTTCAGTGCAATCTCGTGTCTCTTTTTCTGGCTTTTTGACACAGGGTCTTGCCACGTAGCTCAGGCTGGTCTTTACTATTATACTTTAGAATCTTGTTTTTTTGGTACCGGGAATCAAACTCAGGACCTTGCGCTTGCCAGGCAGGCACTTGGGTCTCTGCACTGTATCCCTCGCCCTGCATCAGGCTGGTCTTGAACTCACTGTGGAGCCCAGGCTAGCTCTGACCCTCTGAGACACTACAGAGCCGGAAGCCTTCTCCCGGGTGACAGGCCAGCCTGCCTCTCCAGCCTCGCCTTCACCCTGGGGCAAAGCCAGGGGGCTTAGACCAATCTGCCCCAGCTCTGATCGCTGACCTTTTCTCTCTGCTAAGTTATGGGTAAAGAATCCAGGAGGAAACACAGTTTTTTCTCTGGGAAGTCATTTCCCCATCATAAACCAAAGCATCAACGGACATTCATCAGAACCTAGGCGTACCCTGAGCGAGTGCCTCGGGAGCCGTCCCCACAGCCTTCCCTGACGTGGAGGACCTGGGAACTCACCACGCTTTGCAAAAGCTCACAAGAGGATTACTCAAGCATATCGTATTCTCAGATCAATGTTCTCGTGCCACACTCTCAGTCCCGGAGCAAGTCACGCCTGCACACACCCCTCCTAAGGGGAAATCCAGTAGTTTCCACCTCAGCTCGAGGTCTGTCAGGTTCCCTCAGCCTCAAGGAAACGCTTACCCCAGCACAGCGCTGCTCAGGACTCTCGGAGGACGACCCGGCGACGGTCCCTGTGGCCACGGAGCGCTTCCCCGTCTACGCAGTCTGTGCTAGAGGATCCTCCTGGGATGTCTGGCGTGGCTCAAGCTGGGCGGTGATCCTTAGCTGGAAGCCACAGAACGAAGATGGCAATTACCAGGAGGGAAAACACAGGGATGCGCTCACCGCCTAATACTAGGCTCGCTCTACAAGCCACACAGCAAGGGCAAGGGGCCTGAGGAAGGCCTCCCACACGCGTCACACTCGCCCTCGGTCACCTGGCCAGAGACCTCCGGCCGCTCGGGCAGTGCTCCCAGCTTAGATGGCCACAGTCGATCGCAGGGAACCCTGAGAGATGACGGCCAGAATCTAGACCTCTTCTGGAAACACCGAGGAGCACATGTGCCCGCGCTGTAGTCCTCTCACGGTTAGACGCACAGCGGCCGGCGCTCAGACATCAAGCGCCCCCTTCACACCACCCAGCCCCGGCCTGCCTCAGGCTTTTCCCTAGCCAGGCTGCGAACACAGCTCTGGAGAGCTCTGCTCCCTCCCAGGACTCTTCCCCGCCCCAGCAGGCCCTGGCGGGGCATGACCCATCCCGGTGCTACGCCACACTCACGTAGCAGCTCTGCAACCCTGGGCATCACCGCCAGCCAAACCACCAAGGATCGCCACCTCTGGCTTGTAAACGTTCGAAACTAGCTATCGTCCTCAGGGCCTGCAAACAAACCACGCTCGGGCCTACCCTATTCCTTGCTCCTGAAGGGCGTCCCTCTCACTGCGTTTACCTTCTTACATAAAGAAGGGGCCACTCTTCTCCTTTGTCGGTGGAGTCCCGCCCGACATTCATCCAGAACTAGGCGTGGGGCGAATGTTCACAAGCACCCTCTCATCTGAACCTTGCCATGCCACCTGTGGGCACGGTTACCTTAATCCCCAGTTCACAAATAAGGAAAGCGACTCCCCTGAGTCAAGCAAGTTCTCCAAGTTTACGCAGCCTACAGGAAGTGTTGGCGCTAGGCTTCAAATCCAGGCTATCCTTTTCTCTAACCCATGCTTTTAAAAGAAGTTTTGACAGAACACACATGCCCAAGATGCACCAGTTGCAAGTGTACAATTCCATAGTAAAATTTTTCGATGTTCAGAGTTGTGTGATTCTCATCACAATGTTAGAACCTCTCCATCGTGCCAGAAGAAACCCCACATCCAGTGGAGGTCACTTTCTTTCTCGCCAGTAAAGTTAGCCCCACCCCCAGCTTCTAGACAACCACTAATCTACCATGTGGAATTACAGACCGTGTAATCTTTTGTGGCTGGCTTCTTTCATGTCTTCAAGGCTCATGCATGCTGGAGCTTGTATCAGTGCTTCACCCCACTGCCAGATAACACCCCTGAATGCATTACTGTACCCATTTCATTCAACATCCCTCAGCTACTGGACGCCAGGGCTCTGTCCACCTCTTGGCCACTGTGACTACAGCTGCTATTAAACGTTCATGCACAAGTGTTTTCTGAACACCTGCTTTGAAATCTTTTGTGTAAATGCCTGGGAGTAGAATTGCTGGGCACAGGGTAACGGAGGTGGACTGACAACTGGTGGCCAACTTGTGACACCCGGCTGAAGTGACCCAGCCTGGTGCTGGGTGCAGGAGCCCACCTGAGGATCGTTGCCGGCAGCACAAGAGGCAGAACTGGAGAGCGGGAAGTTTAGAAATTGTAGGGAGCTGTCGGTTTTCCTGGAGGGGCTTATCTTGCCGGCTTTCCATATGAACTCGGCTGTTATCGTCCGAGGAGCTCAGGACCTTGTTGTCACTGAGAATGGCTTCAGTTCATTTGGGGGAGCTCTGTCTCTTACTGTGAGCATCGATTCCTGGCTCTGAAGGAGTAAAGATGGTGCACTGTTCGATCTCCTCGAGAAGCTTGTCGCACTGGTTTTCCTCATGAACTCAGCTGCTCTCATCGTCGGAGGAGCTCAGGACCTCGCTGTCACTGAGGATGGCTGCGGTTCATTTGGGGGGAGCTCTGGTTCTTATTTTGAGCATCGCTTCCTGGCTCCAGTGTAGATCTATCAGCCCGCTGTAGATCCTTCATCCCGCTGGCACAGACTTTCTAGCTTCCACCACTGACCCTGGGGCCTCCCCAGTGCAGATCCATGAAAGAGGCCTGCATGAGACATTGTTGTGGGCGCTAGGCCTCCAGCAGGATTTATGGGGTAATATGTCATGGGTTCGAGGTCTTCAGCAGGACTCATGCAGGACATTGCTGTGGGATCCAGGCCCTCAGCTGGATTCCTTGGTCTTTAGTGTGTAGACAGATTTCCTGCATTCTTTATGTATACGACTCTTTGGGTGACTACTATAAAATCTATAAATTATGTGTCCCGTGTTATTTCCCCTTGTAAACCCCAGACTGCAACAGTAACTCTGGTAAACTTGCTAAGGAACTGACAAACAGTTTCCCTATTTTACACTTCCAACAGCAGTGCACAAAGGCCCCAGTCTGTCCATACCCTGGTGATACTTCATATCTGACTGTTTCCATTCCTGCCATCCCAGTAGGTTTTAAGTGGTGTCTCACTGTGGTTGTGACTGGCATTTCCCTGAAAGCTAATACTGAGCAACCTTCATGTGCTTAACTATCCATATACCTCCCTTGGATGGATCTTCAAAGCCTTCTCCCATTTCATAATGAAATATGTTGATGCTTGAGTTATAAGAGTTCTGGGCTGGGTGTGGTAGCTCACGCCTATAATCCCAGCACTCAGGAGGCTAAGGCAGGAGGACTGTTATGAGTTCAAGACCAGCCTAGGCTACAGAGTAAGCTCAAGGCTGGCCTGAACTACATAGTAGACCCTGTCTCAAAAGGACAAAAAAGCTGTAACTACTTGTTAGATCTTTCTTGCATATCTCTGTCTTCCTGAGAAACCACTTTGAAAATACCCCCATGTATTACAGCAGCCACTGATACTTTCCTACTAATCTGTCCGTAACTCTGTAATGTTTCTATTGTTCCTATGCTATTTCATAAATGCATGTATGTTTATTACTATGTGTTTCCTACAACAACCATTGAGACTAGTCAATGATTATTCAATTGGTCAAAAAAAAAAAAGTTCTGGATACACACTTATCAGATACACAATCTGAAAATAGCTTTTCCCATTCTGTAGCTTCTTCCATTTTAACTGATGTCCTTTGAAGCACACAAATTTTTGAAATTTTGATAAAGTTGACTTCATTTATTTTTTCCCTTTTATTTGTGCTTTTTGTGTCACATCTTAAGAAATTACTAGGGGCTGGGGATGTGGCTCAGTGGCAGAGTTCTTGCCTTGTATGCACAAGGCCCTCGGTTTGATCCCTAGCACCACATACAAACACACACACACACACACACACACACACACACAGAAAGAAAGAAAGAAAGAAAGAAAGAAAGAAAGAAAGAAAGAAAAAGAAAGAAAGAAAGAAAGAAAGAAATTACTCGGCACCAAAACTACCAAGGTTACAAAGATTAGTCAAGCATGGTAGCACACACCTGTAATCCCACCCCTGGGGAGGCTGAGGCAGGAGGATGGCTGAGACTTTGAGGTCAGCCTCAGCCACATAGTGGATTCAAGGTCAGCATGAGCTGCATGATAGCAAAACTCTATGTCAAAAAACAAAACAAAAATGAAGATTTACTCCTATGTTTTCCTCTATGAATTTCATACTTTAATTCCTATACTGAGGTCTGTGATCCATTTTGAATTCGTATTTTATTTGGTGTGAGAAAGGGACTCGGTTCATTGTTTTGCATGTCAGGTACCAGGTACCTCTGTACCACCTGCTGAAAAGACTGTTCCTTCTCTACTGATTCATTTTGCTACCCACGATGAAAATCAACTGATCATAAACCTAAAGGCAGAGCCTATACTTTTTCAGCAAATCTATACCGCCACTTTGCTTAGGCTGATATTTAAACAAAGTGTTCACAAAATCATGTAAATCCCCAAAAACAGTTATAATTATTACCTCTGGTGGCTGGACTTTCATCATATCTCTTTTATAGTGTGTTTTTAAACCATGAATATGTATTATTTTTATGAAAGGAGCTTTTAAAGGCTAGTTAACTTAAAGTAATTTTAAAACTCTATTACACAATGTGAACAGCAAAAGCTAAGACAGCTAGTTTTTTAATATACCAGATATTCAAACATTACTATAATTTCAGGAGGTGGGGCTATAGCTCAGTGGCAGTGCACCTGCCTAGCATGAGCAAGTCCCTGGGTCCTAGTCCCTGCACTGAAAGAAAAAATATGTAGCTAGCTAGATACCAAATTGAAAAGTGATATAGAAATTCTCTTAACTGTGAGATATGGGTGCTATGGCTCACACGTTTTTGTCCCCCAAATTCGTAAGTTGAAATTTTAACTCCCAAGGTGACAGTCCTGGGAGGAAGGGGCTCTGCGAAGGGGTCAGGGGCCCTCATGCATGGAATCTGTGCAGGTATAAAAGAAACCTAGAGGGCCGGGGATATGCTCAGCGGCACAAGCACCTGCCTGGCAAGCACAAGGTCAGGAGTTAGATTCCCGGTACCAAAAAAATAAAAAATAAATAAATAAAAATTAAAAAATAAAAGAAACCTAGAGTCCTGGTCTCCTCCCCAGCACAAGGCGGCACTCTCTGAACCCAGAAGTGGGGCTCTGCCAGACATGCACTCTCCTGCGCCTCTGATCTTGGACTTCCTAACTCCAGAACTATGGGATAAACGTCACTTGTTTTTAAGCCACCAGTTTATGGTATTTTGCTACAGCAGTCTGAATGGCTAAAACAATGAGAAAAGAGTTCTTAAAGGAAACCTGAAATCTGTACCATTTAATTACAGGACCCCAAAAGAGTGATGGGGTTTTTTGCTTGTGGCAGAGACTATCAGACCAGACTATACCATCTGCTTCCCATAAACCAGCAGTGGAAGATGTGCCTCCCAAGCCCCGCTTGCATCAGAATGGTCGTGGTGTCCTAGCTCTCACCGAGCACCTTCTGTGGGGCCCCAGGATATTGATGTGTACGTATGTGTATACAAATGCTGTCCTTGTTTGGAGACAGGGTCTCACCATGTAGTCCAGGCTGCTCTTGAACTCGCTATGTAGCCCAGGCTAGCCTCAAACTTGCAGTCCTAAATGTGTATGTTTTAAATGTTCCCTGGTAATAAATAAATAGATAAATAAATGTTCCCTGGTAATTCTAATGCACATTCTTCATGAAGAACTTTTGAACTGAAGCAACATGACACATGACGGAAGCCCCAGCAGTCACACCTCAAACATGTTGAAACTCTTGCACATTTTCTCATTTTCATTATTTTTATTTACAAGACAACATGGGAATAAGGATGCCTAGTGGTAGCATCTCGTGGGAAGAGTCACAGAGCGTCAGCATGGGAGAGACCTTGGGAGTCACTAGCCCAACTATTCATTATGCTGATGAAGAAACCAAGGTCAAGATAGGTAATTAATCCTGCTGGAATCCGGCCTGTCACACAAGCTCTTGATTCCATCAGGCCTGACTGACTCCGGCTCTGCGAGCTGACTGACTCTAACCGGAGGTGACAGTATCTTACATAACTCCCGCACTCCGGGCATCACCCAACTATTAAGACAAAGTATGTGTCAACACGCAGAGCCCGGTACCAAAGGCCTCTGGGAAACAGGTGTTATCTTCTGTGAAAAGCCGCACTCTTACTAGGGAGACAACATCAAAAATAAACAGTTGCATAAATAATAAGAGATTGCCCAAAATCATCAGAATGTTTCCTTAAATTCTGTCTCTTACAATAAAAATAAAGGAAGTTGGGCTATAAGTTTATCATTTGTTTTTAAAATTTTATCAGCTTTGAATACAATTCAAAGCAGTGTTCAGCCAGGCATGATGGTGCGTGCCTATAATCCTAGCACTCAGGAGGCTGAGGCAGAAGGGAGGAGGATTGCCCTGAGTCTAACGGCTACACAGTAAGACCCTGCCTAAAAAAACAAACAAATATAAATAAATAAATCCAAAAAATATAAATAAACAAAGCAGTTTTCAAAGAAATGCATTTGGTACATGATATGAGACTAGGATAAAACCAGGTGATTACAAAAACTTAGATAAAATTGTAATTACATTTTTTTCTATTTTACCCCTAATTTATAGGTTAAGATCAACTGCTAGTATTTGGATCCATGTGTAAGTACCTATTGTCCACTCATGAACAACCTAAAAGGTAATAATAAAACATGTTCCATGTATATATTTGTAAAATAAACAAATCATTAGATGATTTTGGATATCCCCAATACAGACATATACAGAATAAATTATGATAAAAAACCATCACAAACCAATAAAAAGAAAATGTTTAAATAGCATATTATATAACTATAATAATGACTTGATAATTTGGAGGAAAGTTGTTTTCCTTATCTCTTTCTCTGTAAACATATCATACAAAACCTTTTCCAGATCTCTAATATCAAAGCCTATTATATAACACTATTTCCAGATAAATGTTTAGGGAAAGTAACTTCTACATTTAGAAGTAAATACAAAAGAAAGACTCAATGGATTATACTACAAAAAAGTAAAAATTTAAGGAAAAGAACGGCATAGGGAAAAACATTTACAGAAAACACTAAAACCACACTCAACCAAACTCGTTAATTAAAAAAGACCACAAACAATAAAATCAATAAAAACAATACCCAGTTAAAAAGCAAACAGCATACTAGAACAAAGATCTATTTTATTTTTATTTCGTAATCAGAAATGCAGATCAAAGTGGAAATGGAAAATTAAAAATGTGCATCAGTGTGACTCCAGGGACACGAAGGGGTGTATGTAAATGAGCGAATACTATTTCCTGCAGAACAGTTTGACAGTGTGGATCAAAAGCCAGTGACACAGCCGTGCCTAGGAACGCCTCCTCTGAGCCTGTCCGCGGTCTCTGCAACACAGGCGCAGAGCGCCACCCGCTTGCTCCCTCCCGGCTTCGGGAGCTTCTGGCCGTTTCCCAGACTACCTCACCCTGGACAACCTCTCACTCTCTTCTCTCAACCTGGTTATCATCCAGTTTCATTCCAACAGCACTGGGGAGCACAGCAAATCAGAAACAGCACGCCTGGACCAGGGGATGGCTAAGCTATCACAGTTCTCTTGTTCTACAGTAACTTCACAGGCTGCATACGAGTCAAGGTCCAGAAAACATGAAAATGGTTCAGCAGGATGTCAACTGGAAAGAAACTGGATACTAAAACCTACACACCACAGACTCGAAACTCTGTGAAACTGCATGTAGGAATCCTGAGGCATCCGGGATCCACCAGATGGTCCTATTAGTTACAGCGGCATAACAGGATTATGCACGACTGTTCTTTCATGTATTTTTTTTTCTTTCCTTTTTGCTTGCCATTCTAGGGCCAGGGATGTAGCTCAGCAGTATGGCGCCTACCTGGCAAGCTCGAGGTCCTGAGTTTGATTTCCAGTTCAAACCATCCTATCACATGCCAACCAAATCCTCTGACTTTAGTAAACGGGAATTCATTTAAATCTTTGCATTTGGAGAGATAATGCAAGGTCTCTGAACTGTGGGCTCATTAAGGGAAACTCCTGTTGAAGAGGTTTCATCGTGGCCCTGCACGCTTTCCCTGTTAAACGACTGTCTACGGCCCCAGCACCCCCAGGCCGCCGAGGCAGTGCGGCATCTTCCCTGGGCGTCGGGGCACAGGCAGAGTCTGCACCTTGCTTACAGAGCTGGGTAACTGGTATTCATCTCTTGGGAGAGACCCAGCCATCCACTCTTACAGCCACAGGCAGAAGCTCTGGCTTCACAACACGGGAACAAGGCAGCGCACAGAAACCCAGAGGAAATGGAAACAGGTTCGCAAGAACAGGAGAAGCACAGGTCAGTAAAGCCGCCTCCGATTCTGAATTATCCCTAAGTGACATGTCACAGAAAACTAGGACAGGAAGTCATGCCAACACAGGCAATCAGAGGCAACGGGAAAGCGGGTATGTCCGGCTGTCTGACTTCCCGGGGTGAAAGGCACTCAGCACGCCACAAGGGGTAGTCCCAATGCGGCGGGGGCCGCCTTAGAACCAGCCGTCCCTCTGGTGGCTCTTCCTACCCTTACTGCCCTGCAAAATAGTAACTGGCCATAAACTGTAACACATGGTTCTTAGTTAGATTTGGCTCCCCCTAAATTGGGGGACAAGGGAGAAAATTTTAATATGGACCTGTACTGGGCAGTATTATTGGGGCAACTATAAATTTCTCGGACGTGAATACTTAAGAGTTAAAATCATAAGGTCTGCAGCTTATTTCAAGTGGTTCAGGAAATAGGTCTGTGAGTGTGGAGGGAGGAGAGAGAGAGAGAAAACAACAGGTATGAAGGAAACTGGTGCTTATGATGTCACTCTTACAACTTTCCTGCTGACTGGGTGAACCACTAGAACTGCTTTCAAAACGCTTCTATGAACTAGATGTGGTGGCACATGCCTGTAATCCCGACACCCTGGGAGGCTAAGGCAGGAGGATCACAAGTTTGAGGGCAGCCTGGGCACGTAGCTTGGCATGAAGGACCTGGGCTCAACCCCATTACCACCAGAGAGAGAGCGAAGCCACGTCCACAGAGCCCGCGGGTACACTCCTGTCAGGCTGCGGGGAAGGCCTGGCTCCTTCTTCTCCTTCCCTACCTGCAGGCACGTTCCTGCCCCACCTTGTCTGCCTGGGAAAGACGCAGGAAGTGGGAAGTCAGCCAAGCCTGCATCCCTCCGCCTGTAGCCAGTAAGGGATCTCTGGTTTTCTGACTCCCTGCGTGCAGGCAGAGCCTCGGAGACTCTGCTGACACAACACAGATCTTTCTGAAAACCGTTCCTACACCCCTGGCCCTCACCATGGGGTCGGCCCATCTTTGGGGGACCCTGAAGTCACACGTATGATCACAACAAGATGTTGTCTTTTAGGGGTCCTTATTCATATTAAGTCTGTAGACAAGGCCTGAACACCAACCCCTCTGGCATTCTGAGAAAGAAGACTTTGTGAAAAGTGGATCAGAGCTAAAAAGCTGTTTATCTAGGATGAAAAATAATTCTCCTCTTAGAACTCCATGAAATGAAGAGGGTGGCTTCGCTTCCAAAGCTCCAAAACCCACTCCAGACAGGGCAGTCCTTTGGGGTAGGTCTCTCTCGAAAGGAAAAATAAAGTGCTTTTTACTGGAGAGACCTCTGATTCCAGGCCATTCAGACAAGACTCAGGAGGCAAAAAGAGCCCACGCAGCTTGAAGCCTCCTAAGGAGCAGACTCACAGCACTCTGTGCTTCCGGGACCCTTGCACACCGCGCGGCGCTGTAACGGCCTGCGTTTCCGGTCTGTGGTTGTAGGAACTAGAGACAAACACAAAACACATACACACACTTTCACACCAAACCCTGCAGCCGCACGTTGCTTCAGCTGACTTTCAGAGGCTCAGGCCTGGTCCTGAGGCTCACACCACCGAAAGGAAGAGAGGACACCTGAGAACTTCAGGCCAGGACGCCGGGATGGAAGGCAGACCTGCGAACGAAGGCCGGCGGCCGGGCGCCTCCCGCTGCCAGCCCACCTGCTGGGACTCGAATGCCCACCCCCGGCAGCTTGCTCCCGGCGCGGTGCTGAGGGCGCAGGGCACGTTCCAGAGTGCAGGCTCCTCACGCGCAAGCCTCAGCTCTGTGGCCGACGGCTCAGGGCAGGAAAATCAAGAGTCCTGCGGGTCCCGTGTGCCTTCACAAAACTCTGTAAGTTCAAGGGCAAAGGTTTTTGCAAACACACCACTGCTCTGGGAAGATTCCTTTTAACATAGCAATAATTTTTAATAGTATTTCCTTCAACCCACAAGACACAAAACATCATAATGCCGGGTCTAACGAGACTCCATCACGTATGTTCTCCCTTCAAAGCCCTCAGAGGGGGACGCGTACGTGGGAAGGCAGGACACGGGTACAAAGCCACGACACAGGTAATTACACTGGGTTTGAAAGGCTGCCGTGTGAGACGCGCTGGGGAAATCAAACAGGAGCATTTAGGGCGACACAAGGAAGCCGCAGAAGACTCTTGACTAGAGATGAGGATGAATGTCTGAGGCT